AAAAAAACCAACAAGATAATCTTGTTGAGGTCCAATAACACTTCCAGGCCGACATATCCGTAGCCATGCCATGCATTCAGCGGCGTTCAATCCAAATTCCTTCATCATCCAGCATGCAATGAGCGTCCCCGTCCGCCCGAGACCTGTATCTAGATTCCTTGCAGAGTGCTCTTTTACAATATATGAAGAACTCACCAGCCTTGCAATGAACAGCGACTGCACCTTTAGAGTTATCTACAACCCGTATAAAATTTTCAACTATTTTTTCCGATGGGGTGCTACCGTCAATGAAAAATAGATCCACATGGTCGAATCCGGCGTCGGTAAACCTGAAGCGATGAGGCCTATTAAACTGTAAGCTAGGAACGGTTCAAGCATATGATAACTTCACTCTATGATAGCATTGAAATATAAAAAAAAACAGTACAGAATATATTTGTCTTTATCTATGTTTGCCGATAGATCGAACGAAAGCGCATTGAAAATTTTGTGCACCATTTATACAAATAGGACACAAGCAGAGCGATGATAGCTTACTTTTTTGCATCATACATTCTCATGTTTAGCCGAACAATTGTTGTGACGTTAGTGGCACGAAAATAGTCAAAGTAGGTCTCAGGAGAGTGATAAGGATATCCTGGAATGGATAAATCGAAACTCGGATGTGGAGGATGTGTTCAACTCCATGCAACACTTGAGAAAAACAGGGTCCGCTGTCAATTTGAAGCTTACCGTCTTCAACACGAGATTCATTGTGAGGGCCGCAGAAGCTCAAAATCTTGCCAGGTATAATCCAATTCATATCGCCATTTTCCACCCGTTCATAAAGTTCGTATTCCTCTGCATCGAACGACGTGATGTCGAACCATTTCAGATTTATCGCCTGAGTAAAGTACGACCATCACGAAAAGGTCATGGAAGGTGTTTGACATTCAAGTTAGCTACCTTTTCAACAGCTCGAAGAACGTCGTGTAAGTGAAGCAGATAAGTTGGTTCGCCAAGTGCCGCATCACGAAAGCCAATAAACTTGGGAGGTTGAGCTGTTTCTAATCGCAGATAAGCTGCATCCGCGGACACCCCTTGGTATATGATCTGAATAAGATCATTTTTCAGGTTACCGCAAAGGCAAATATCGGGAATTCTCACAAAGTGTTCGCGTAAGATTTCGAACTTTTCTTATGGGAATTAACCGACAAAGCAGTGTGACACTAACATGTCGAATGAAAATAAAATCACCGTACAGTCAAAAACTGAATGAATTGAATTGATTTGATACATTGGCTACCAAAAATATGGAAAAAAGTATAACCAACCAAGTACGATCCCATAATATAAGCTCCATTGACGCGGTTTCGGTCATCGTCATCAGTGTAGACCACGATTTTACGTTTGCGCTGAGCCTGCGGTAAAGAAGCCGTAAACAAATGAAAAATAACTAGTCAATGGCAACAGAGGTGTGCAATACAATTTGATACCTACAGTCGTTTCCAACAGTGCAGGTATTAAATTGTGTTGCAAATTTCTGCTGCATTCAAATGGATATTAAATCGAGAACTTCCAAAACTAATATTATGCGACCGAGAACTATTAGTACTACTTTTCCCGTCACTTAGGCTAAACATTAGGATTCAGTACAATGCGTTGTGGGCAAAAGAAACGCTTCAAAAGCCATAAAAGCTACTAAAATAACATAAGCAGAAATACCTCGACAAGACCGTGAAGATATCGCGTGAATCTGTACAGCACGGAAAGGTTTAGTGGACCGAAATCACCATAAAATGGTTCGTAGTGCACCTAAATATTCGTGAGATTTTACATGTTGTCATCCAAACAAAAGCTTCAGTTTAATAAAATCTTTTTAATGCAAAACCAAAACCTTAACAAAAAGTAAACCAACACGGTTGTCTAGATCAATATAGCGAACATGTGGATCGGCCTTGTGAGGAGGTGCTTTAAATGATGCGAAATAAAGCTGTTTCGGAAGCAGTTCAACGACGTTTCCATTCAATGAACCGCTTTGAACGATTTCGGAATTTGCCACCATGCCGCTCACAGTTCATATACCAACTTCCGTTAGGCAGCACATCTGGAGAATAAATTTCTTGAATTCGCGGACTTTACAACCATTTGCCTGCTCAAGAAAAACGGAGGCTAGATTGCAGTGGAAGAAAACGTTTTAAGGCAGTATCAAAAAGTGGAAGGTAGAAAGGATAATGTAATAGGTTACATAAACTTATGACGACTGAGACTTTTTTCCAATCCATGAGAGATTCGATGAAAGCAGAAACATCATTAAGAATGCGGGTCTGCTCGGTTGCCAAGCGTTTCAATGGGGGTGACCATGGGTAACGATATTTGATCATAGAAAAGCCACTGGTTCATCAGTTT